ATTTTACATCTAATCTTTACCAATGACATTGCTCCTCTTTCTGTTCCTTTAAAAAAGGACCTCTTTGACAGTGACCACGTATTAATTCATTGTTGCTAACCGCTTGCCTTTTCAGAAAAGACCTGCGTCCTTCGGACTTACATGAACTACGACTGCGTAGATAACGATTTAATGAATAACTATATTAGATCTTTTGATTGGTATGGCTTCCTCTCCTGTAGCGATGCAACCATTCTTCGTGATGTCATGTCCGATGTTTCCAAGGACATCCTACAATTGGTGTTGCGTAGATATCTCAAGCCTAATTTTTCAGATTGCCTTGTTCCTCATTTTCTTTGCAACAGACTAAAAAAGTTGAGGCGACAACTGCGTGACCCATCCACTAGTTCCTTATCAGTTCATCTTAGAATCACAGAGATTTTTGAGATGGCCCCAAGGATGCGCCAAGCGCGCTACAGGCAAAGAGAATTAATTGCTCTCAGTGGTTCGAACCCTGGCAAATCCGTCGCTAACATCTTCCGTCATCGGTCCTCCTCCAAGCGTGGTCACGAACTTCCACCCCTGCTAAATGATAACAAAGTATTCCTCCTCGATGACACTGACAAGGCGGAGTTGTTTAGAGCTTTATTTGCAAAACACCTTGCTACCGAGTCTGATCCGGTCCCTTTCTTTCGATCACTTTCAGATAGGACACTTAGTACAATTGATTTCTCCCCAGATCTCATTAAGAAACACATATGTAAGTCGTTTGAAATACTCACACTGCTCAGGAACGGACGAGATTCCGAATTCGATTATTAAACAAGCGTCCGACCTTCCCATATTGCTCAGTCATTTATTCTCTGTTTATATTTCAAAAGGATTCTTTCCTGAAACATGGAAAATTCAATTATTATTCCCGTTTTCAAGTCAGGATCTCGGTCCGATGTTAATAACTATCGGGGCGTGCACAAAACGCCGTCTCTAGCAAAGCTTCTTGAAAGGATTATTTTCAATGAAATTCTTGACTTCTGTCTAGTTAATCGGCTTCTGAGCTCTAGTCAGCATGGATTTTTACCTGATCGATCCTGCGGAACATGTCACTTGGCTTTTCTTAATCTAATCACTTCTCTTCATAGTGAGCGGCAGTCAGTGGTAGTTATCTACTTTGATCTTAGGAAAGCCTTTGACAAGGTGCCCCATAGACGTCTTTTAGTAAAGTTGGAAACTCTCGGCATCCGGCCGCCTCTACTCGACTTCATCAGGTCCTATCTGTCCAACCGATATCAGAAAGTCATGGTCGGTTATAGCTATTCGAAACCCCACTCGATCACGAGTTGAGTACTTCAAGGCACGGTTCTGGGTCCGCTACTCTCCCTTCTGTACATCAATGATATTTCGACTGAACTCGGAAATTCGCAAACTTTTACTTATGCCGATGACCTTAAGTGTGATTACTCATACTCTAAGGACACTGCAAACGTTTGTGTCGAAAAAATTAATGCCGATTTACTACGCTTAAGCAAATGGGGTTCGACATGGCAGATGGGGTTTTCATCATCCATGTGTAGTTTCATGTCTTTTGGTCCTGCCAAACTTCCTAGTGCCATACTTTTTCAGAATAACCCACTCTCAGAATGCTTCACCATAAAGGACCTAGGTCTAAGTTATACAAATAAGCTTGCTTTATCATCTTACGCAGATAGAATCTCTGCCAAGGCCGCGCAGATATGTGGATTCATATCGCATGATATTTTCCTTCCGGAAATGAAGCTAAGACTTTATCAAATGTTTGTTCTTCCAGTCCTCGAATACTGCTGTCCTTTCTTCGGTTTAATGAACGCCTGCGACCGTAATAAAATCGAAAATGTTCAGAGGGTTTTCACCCGGAAACTGTTCTCTCAAGCTTTGTCTGGTATTTATTGTACTCAGAGATGTCAGCTGACGAACCTCAAGTTTTTGTGGGTTAGAAGACTCGAAGCTGGCCTTTGCTTCCTTTTTTGCATCAACTCTATCTCCAGTCTTCCGCTCATTGACACTCTCACTCCGAGAGATCGGTCTTATGCCACGCGCAACTGCTGCATGGTGATTCCGCCGCCTCTTTGCACTACCTCTAAGCGCTCCCTCTTCTTTGCTTCCAAATATGCCTTCCTTTGGAATAATCTTCCGCCTGAAATTAGATTATCGCCTAAGTTACTGGTATTCAAGTCGAAATTACGCAAACATCTTACACCGGAAAGCATAAAGGCACCGTTAACGGTCTCATTCCCGAACACTCAGATTCTTGACCTCGAGAAGGGTCCTCCTGGGATTTATTGGTAGATCAAGTGGTAACTCTTAATTATATCATTAGAAACCCCTGTTTTGAATTGGTTTCCAAATCCACCGCTTTCACTCCTCTCCCAAAGCGACAATTTTCACGGTTTTTGATGTCATCTCCCGCATTTCGACCTCATGCGGTCTGTCGACGCTCATGGCGGAACCCTCAGTATTCACTGTCTACTAGTAGTCCGGTCGTACCTCCCTTCCTCACTGCTCGGCTGAGCTCGAAGCGTGCTGTGGCCGATCGCATCTGGGTTCCTCTCGTCTGGCCTTTTGGATGCGAATAGTCTTATGCGGCGTATTAATACGGCCTAGACGATGTCAGCTGTGAATCCCGTATACATTACCACACGCAGGCCAGTCCTGTCTGACCCGCATACGTACCCCTCAAGGCTGACATTTATTGCTACCCTGACGATGTCCGACTACAATGCGTTATATACCGTCACCTACAGGCCAGTCCTGCTCGTTTTTTTCTGTCATTATTTTTATTTAGGATTTTTTCTCCTGTAAAATTAATCCAACCATTTTTAACTTTTTGTATGGAGTTTTTTCCACCCCTCACTAATCATGTTTCTAAATGGACTACTAATTCAGAAATTATGAATTGCATTTTGTAACGATTCTGCCTACCTCGTCTAAAATTCACGTGTAAATTTATTTTTACTCGCTTTGATGGGACCCCGAGGGGTCTTTAATAAAAAATTATCTTATCTTAACCGCCTATGCGAATGGTCTGACAAATGGCTGCGGAAGTTTAACCTTGAGAAGTGCGTCGCGCTGCGACTCAAAACGACTGGAATAGCCGATGGAGAGGATCACCATTGCCTGCTTGGTGGAAGGTTTCTTTCAAATGTGACCGAACAGAAAGATCTTGGGATCAACACTTTGTCGACTCTCATGCCTTCCTCTCAGTGCGTTAGGGCGGCCAAAATGACAACCAGTTTTCTCGTTGCAATTAAACGAACTTTCGTAGATGTAGACAAAGAGTTATTTGGAAAAAAAATCTGGAGCGTTCGTTCGCATCTGGAATATGCAATCTAAGCATGGCGCCCGTAGCTTAAAAGGACTATACGTTGCTAGAAAGAGTTCAGAGGAGAGCGACAAAATTGTGAAAGACTTCAAGACTTTACCTTAAAACTGCAGACTTAGTTAACTTAAATTATTTCCTCTTGAGTACGGGCAGATTCGAAAAGATCTAATACAGACGTATCAGATTTTGAGGAACCGAGACTGTGCCCTAAACTTCGACGATTACTTCACCCCGGCTGCAACAAAAAACATGCCTGGGAACTCTTTAAAACCCGTGGTCCGGTGCACATGACGGTAAAGCTCCCAATTCATATAGAATAGAATAGAAAAGGTTTATTATAGCTCCCCTTGGGCACTGTCAGGCCCCTCTGAACTCAGGAAAAAAACCTAACGACCGCAATCTGTTGGACAAGAAACCTAGGCTACACAAAGTACACACCATAACCAACATCGCCATCGAAGCTACACATCACCGATGCCGATACCTTTTACAGTAGAGACTGAAGAAGATGAAAAACGACTGGATGATGTAGAGCTGGGGAGATCCAGGGCTATGTCGACCGTAGTGAGATAATAAATTTCTTCGTACCACTAAGGCCCTGCTCGGTCTTCAAGCCAAGACGGTCGCATCGCTATTCAGCCAAGATCGAGCATCCCTACCGATGGAGAAGTTATGAGTCCTGGGACACTGAGCCGCGTACCTTCAGAGCGTACCCGACTACCCACTCTATCGGAGGATAAGTGATTAACAGACATCCTCAAGCGAATACCGATAGCAACCTCAATCGTCCACTTACTTACTTTGTACTTGATACGGCTGCGATCATGCCTGATCTAGCCGGCCTCGATGATGTCCCGAATTGTACCTCTCCACGCGTGATGATCCGCGGCAGCAGATCTAGGCAGCTCAACCCATTCCCTTCGCCAACGACGGAGACCGAATACCGAAGGTCCAATAACCACCTCCATGTCTTGACGGACAGTGTCGAGCCAGGTTTTGAACTGACCCCCTCTTCGACGCCTCCAGTGGGGCAACGGTGTCGGGTTGAAGGCAGTAACACTGAGCTCCTGAGGTGGACGACGAAGAACATACCCGAAACACCTCAGTCGTCTTTCTTGGATGGCCTATGTTATCCTTGCAATGTCGCAACGAGCGTGGACTGTCTCATTTGAGACGAAGTCGGTGAAATTCACTCGAAGGATGGTCCTCAAGCAGTAGTGATCAAATACTTCCAGTTTTCGCTCATCTTCCACGCGTAAAGCCCAGCATTCACAACCGTAGAGAAGGACAGACCGGACAGATGCACGGTACAGGCGAATCTTGGTGGCGATGAAGAGGTTACGTCGGTTCCACAGGCATTTCCGAAGGCTTGAGAAAACCCAGCGGGCAACATCGATTCGGGAGACAATTTCGTCCTTACTCTGTCCATTAGGCAGCAGCCTCGCCCCGAGGTATTTAAAACTGTCTACTTCTTCAAGTTGACAGCCATCAATCCTGAGGAGTGCCTTCTCCTGGTCAGGGATGCAGCTTGAGAGTACTTTGGTCTTCCCAGCGTTTATGGACAAACCGACTGATTTAGCGACCTCGTTCACCCGTGACACCATAGACTGCAGATCACCAAAACTTGAAGCAAGTAAGGCGATATCATCGGCATAGTCGAGATCAGTTAGTCGATGTCGGGTGCAAATTCAACGCCGTCGCTGTCGCGTAGGGCCCTCCCGAGGATCCAGTCAATAGCGTAATTGAACAGTATGGGTGACAGGATACAACCCTGTCGGACGCCAGACCGAATACCGAACGGTTGGGAAAGATTGTTACGGACCAGGACTCTCGCAGTAGTGGAACGATAGTAGGCCTTGATCATGATGATGATTTTTGCCGGTACACCATCTAGCGCCATTATCCGCCACAGGGACTCACAGTGAACAGAATCGAACGCGGCGGCAAAGTCAACGAAGCAGACGGCCGTCGGTTGTTGGTAGCTATGGCGAAATTCGAGAATGCGCCTCAGTGTCAATATCTGATCTGCGCATCCACGTCCAGCACGAAATCCGGCTTGGTTGGCCCTCGTCCTTGAGTCACGCACAGCCTGGAATCGCCTGAGTTGGACAATAGCGAAGATCTTCGCAGCAACGTCGATGAGACTTATGCCGCGGTAGTTCTCGCATCTCGTTTTATCTCCCTTCTTGAGGATAGGTACAAGGATGCCTAAGCCCCAGTCATCAGGAACAACCTCGTCTCTCCACGCTCGTTCAACCACCTCATGGAGCCAGGGCGCCAGAGTGTCGACACAAGACTTAAAGACTTCAGCGGGTATACCGTCCTCTCCGGGTGCCTTATTGTTGCGCAACTTTTGTATGGCATCGGCGACTTCTTCCTCGGTGGGGGGATCGCATGGCACGGCATAGGTAGGAGAGGGAAGAAACTCCGCTGAGAAGGAGAACAAGGGCGATGTAGGTTGGGTATCGAAGTTGAGATGGTGCTCAAAGTGCTCACGCCAGCGCTCTACTTTGGCCGAGTTGTCAGCAATAAGGCCGCCGTTCACATCGCGAACAGAGTCACTCAGTGTAGAGGGCTTACCGCTAACTTGGCGGATCAGACGGTAGAGCTTTCGAGTGTCACCAACGTTCGAGGCCTGTTCCATGTATGTCGCTATTTCAGCCCAATATTGCTTCCGGTCATCCCTGGCCGATTTTGCCGTCATCTTCCGAAGTTGGCGGAAGTAGTCATCGTTGCGGGACCTGGCTCTAGCCGTCTGAGCAGACAACTGCAGGGTTCTTCCGCTGATCCAGTCACTGCGGCGTCGCTGGGTGTACCCAAGGATTTTCTTAGCTGCCTCATAGACTGAGGTCTTCAGTGACGACCACTGGTTACTGTCTTCTCCGTCGGCTCGGGTCGTAAAACAGGTCCGGATTTCTCTGCTTAGGGCCTCGGCAGTGCTGGCTTGCCAGATTTTTGCGACATTGAGGCGTCTAGGACGTGGAATTTTTGGTGCGGATGAGAGATGAACTTTCAGGCGTGTACGGACGAGGACATGGTCCGACCCATGGGCGTTACCAGTCTCGGCACCACGCATCGATCTGCTATCGTGAACACAGCTGCGGAACCTTGAGCTGACTAGTATGTAGGCAATCTGACTGGCCGTGCGACCGTCGTTTGAATACCAGGTCAGCAGATGTTTTTTGCGATGCTGGAAGCATGTGTTGGTGACAAGCAGTCGGTTTCGATCAGCGAAGTTCAGCAATCTCTCACCATTTTCACATCGGGAACCAAGCCCAAAGCGGCCAAGAAGATGACTGGTTGTGGGGTCGCCAGGTCCAGTTCGACCATTCCAATCGCCAACAACAATCAGCAGATCGCGGCGAGGCAGTCTTTTAACTAGCGCTTGCAACTGAGAGTAAAACGCCTCTTTATCGCGCTGTTCGGCGGCCGAAGTTGGTGCGTACACAGCGACGATGGAGATGTTCGTGAAGTGACCCTTCCGTCGCACGTAGGCTATCCGGTCATTTACTGGTTCCCAAGTAAGTAGCGCAAGGTCCGCTTGTTGTGATAGGGCGATCGCCACACCGTGTCGGCCAGAGGAATCGCGGGGGCCGCTGTGGTACAGGGTGAGGTGGGATTCGTCTCCCGGGATCTTTATTTCGTGGGAGCCTGAGTCAGGGAGTTGAACTTCATGGAGACAGCAGACATCCACGTTGTACTGATGAAGGCTGCGTGCGGTCAGACTTTGGGTACCAGAGTCCAGGAACGTTCGTACATTCCAGCATCCAATACCGAGAGTCCGTCCACGATTGAGTAGTCCAGCTCGCATACTATTCGCCCGCACCACTAGACTAGGGTTGCGGAGCGCGTCGGTTCCCGCGGACGCCGTAGCATGGGTCGTAGTACTGTGGTCGGACATGTTGCATGAGGTTTCTTGGGGATTTCGAATACGGGCGGGTCCCCAACAGCCGCTCGGATTGGGGACCCGCCCGTATTCAAAATCCCCAAGAAACCTCACCTTCCCTCCATGAGTAAACCAGAGCAAGGGGAGAGCTATCCAGGGGGAAAGTATCGGAATCCGACGTAATCCCAGCTAAAAAGTACAAAGTACGGCTGCCCACAATTCATGAACAAGCTTAATTCGTTATTCAAAAATATAGTTAAGGAGACGCACGCCGTAGTGCAAGGGCAAATGGAGTCGACAACTCTGCGACAGCCACCGGGACATGCCCCTTGTCAATACTGAAAGAAAAGACTTCGACCGTGTCCTACCCCGTTACCGGAATACGCACCTGAAAGGAATTGTGAATTGTGATGAGTTGACGACGTTTGGTTTTTCAAGTCAAAAGTTGAGGAGGACAGGATTATAAGACAAGCTCTACTGAGGCTATGGAGCTGACACGCGCCTCTGCAGACAATGGCGTCCAATTTTCCCCACAGCCGAATTCCAGTCACTAAAATCTTTAGCTACAACACGAAGTGTGTCTGCGCCTGGGTTTGGTCTACTTGCAATCAATTACCAGAAAAAGTCACGTCGACTGGCGTCGAGCTCTCATCACGCGGTGTCAAGTCACACGCGGCCCAAGCACACGACTGACAGCTAACGTCAGTGGACTGATGGCGACATGGGCACGGGACCATGATGCCAATCTCAGAAGCCGACTACCACACGGAATCCGACAACACCATGGGACAGAAAACATGGTCTTCCTGGCCCGCCAGCAACAGGTAAGGTAGCAGGAACTGAGGACCAACCGAGCACCCCTTCGTGGATATGATGAAGGTCTTGGATACAGCGAATCAGAGCAAACACCGTATTGACATGCTGAACTTCTGATTTCAGGGACGATTCACACAAACAAACGGACAACTAACCGACGGGATTAAGACGCGCCAAACAACGAGCCGTCTCTGGTGCGTTCTCGGTGACAAATGGGGTGAACCCTTGCTGGGTGCACTCTCCCAACCCCTTCAGTCTCATGTTATCTGATATGCTGATGGATGCCTACTGCGAGAAGCGGCCGATGATCGAAACCGACTATCTGACCAACAGAAAAATGCTCATTATGCATGCGAGTATTTTCAATGGTGTGGAAGCCCGGTGCCGGATGATATCTTGTGCGCAAATGACGGCGCACTGGACAAGACAACGAAAGAGGACAAGCAGTGGAGCGTGGGTCTCTTCCGCTCTAACCACTCCAACTTCAGTCTGGCCATTAGCAAGGACGAGATAGGGGTCATGCGTCACCCGTCACCTAACGCCGACAACAGCAAAATCAACATCAACGTTAATGGAAATCAGCTCACATAATGGGACCAATAAGCATGCCCGAGAGTATAAAACAAAGAAACATTAAGATCGACAACAAAACCGAAAGTCAGATTTCCAACGTCAGCCAAACCTTCAACTGGCTAAACCACTCTATCTGTAACCGTCACGGCACCCCGTCCAACAAAACAATTGAATGTATTTAGGACTGTTGTCCTAGCAACACTCTTGTATGAGGCGGAAACGTCGGCTGTGTATGAAGGCCAAGCGAGAAGATTTGATCAGTTTGGCCTCAACTGCCTCCGAAAAACACTGAGGGTTAAGTGGTTGGAAAAGCTGCCAGTCAACTAGGCCCTGTCAAGAACTAACGTCTTCAGTATCCACGTAATGTCAAGGCAAGTGCAACTGCGATGGAGCCGCCACATCGAGATGATGGATGACGAGCAGCTACGAAAACGGCTATTCCACAGCGACGCTAATGGGAGTGCTCGCAGATAAGACGGGCATAAACATCGCTATATACACCCCTTGAAAACCTTCGCAAACACCTACAAATCAACTCTGAGATCTGAGAGGACCCTACTAGAGATCGGTGGGTGAGGCACACTGCCGAAAGACTGGAGCACCTGTCTTCCGAACCAACTGTGTGGCCGATACCAATGCAAAAGGAGAGGTTAGTAAGACGCGTGTCGCGATTTAGCAACACGAGCACCCAACCTCCACTACTGTATCCGTGTTGTCAGCGGACATTCAAGGAATGGAACGGCCTTGATGGAAATTCCCTTAACAGGTGCAAAGTCAACACACCAAATCCGCCTCCTATCTAATGAAACACCGTCATCGCCACCAGCTTTATTATCCCCATTGAGGTTACCTCTGTCGTCCCCCATTGGCAGTTTTAATTCACTACCAACCTGCTTACATTGAGATTCTACCTTCAAATCACACATCATCCTGCTCTGTCACATTAAAAGCAGTGAAACAATACCAGGGGCCACAGAATGCGCTAGTCACACCTGACTCATCTGTTCACTGCCCCAGAACATAGGACCATCGCATGAGCCTATTCGGTCATGTGCGTCTCAATGAAAATCTTCAGCAAAACTACGCAGTCCACGCATTATTAGCACATTCCGCTCTACCTGAAAGCCCACACACACCCCTAGGCCACACGCGAGCCTTCCCCACAGCACGTGCATATACAACGCCTTGTCGTAACAACCATCCCTCTCGCTCTCCTGAAGCGGGCGTGCAATCACTTTTGCGATGCCAATATGGTAGTGAAACTTCGCGTGTCAGAACAGACACATCTCAGACAAGTGGAAAGCATATCCTCTCATTTGGCCTGATGCATGCGGACTGGAGGCCGGGTGGTGTGTGGCATGCGTGGACGGGCTGTTTAACCGAGTCAATCATTGCACCCGCGCCCACCCCCGGTCGTTTTTATTTTTTCGTGTCTTGGGACAAGGTGACTGATGGAAAAAGTAATGAGAGGATGCTATCAATGGCGGACCTCATAAGCCGTTAACTGAAATTCTGAAATGCGTTTTCTATTAGGAAGGACTACTTAAGTGGGATTGTAATAATGGCTGCCCTGTGGCATAATCCCATGACACCTTAGATACGCAGAGATTTTTGCTTTGAAAACACTCCATTTTGGACGCCTACAAAAACCACACTGAGTAAAAAAACGACTACTTGATTAGTATTTTTTTCGATCTCTCTTCGATGGCCTTATAAATTCAAATGTATTTTATAAAAAAACATGCGAAAAATATTCTTTCTTGTATTCATTTGTTAGCTAATTATGTATTGTTCAAAGTTGGTATTCGAAAAACGTGTATTTTCGGTTGTAAAATTATGATATCTTTAAGATCGTACTATTTCCATTCACGTAGCATCGTATCTGTTCGTTTATCAATAACCCTCACGAAGTAAACAACCTAGTCGACATTACTCGTTAAGTTTTAAGAGCTCTTTGTGGTATCTTCTTAGCAGCATAGAGCCTCCTATGAAAAGTGTACAGCGTGCAAACTGAAGACGTTAAACGCAAATGGAGTGGCATTTAGAGCTCAAACTTATTCGGGAATCGAAAATGTGGCACACCGTAAACCCGAAAGACGTCTTACTCCACGTGGCCACACTTTCAAACTATAATAGTCTAAAGGCGTTCTGGGCAGTTTCCACTATTTCGAATAGGGCAACGGACACTAATACACATTAAAGCCACGATTAATGGAGGTCGACCTCGTCTAAACTAAAATTCACACAGAGGTCTACTATAACGTAAAAATATTGCCTGTTTCGCACTCCAAAACTCATTTTTGCAATGAAATATGTGCCAGGGTCGTTTTTGCTTCCATTGCCGGTTTTCACCTTTCAAGAAAACGCGCGGTGTCTGAATACTTTCTGTGCTCCGAACTGAAGGGGCTGTGGCCCCGCCTAGCCACCCTGCCGGCCCCGCCTATGAGGGGGCCATGTGCTAGCAGGGTACATAGTGCATAAGCAGTCATTTTTTACGAAGTGCTGTTTTTGCAGGCAGCCAAGAAGAAGAGCATTCAAAAACCAACATCCTGGCGAGTCTGAAATATCGTGGATGCATGCTGCATGCTAATCATCATTACAATCCCCACTTAATTAATCTTTCCTAATCGGAGCCTCGTTTCAGAATTTCGGTTAGTATTTAATGAGATCAATCACTGACTGTGGATGCCGCACAGGTCTGCATCGCTCTAAACTCATTCATGTACAAGTCACCGCTGCTGGGCCCCACCTTATGAAACATGCGTTGGGCGCCATCGTTTGCGACGGTCCACTGTCCGTTGAGGCTAGATTCGTGCAAAGAGACGTACGTCTGTCGCGTTGTACTGAGGCCATGTGCCCAATTAATTGTTGCATTACACGACAATGACACGCGATAAACGGAAACCCACCTCATGCCAGCCACTTCACCTAGACCTTACAATCAGTCGACCGGCGGACTCAGACAGGCTGCTGGCGCGTGAAGATATTTCGGATCTTTCAACATACTAATCCGACTGGTTTTGGCCTACCACAACGCTAAATGTCGTGACTTGGAGGGTCTCTCGATGATGAGATGACCTGATAGGCTTTTAAAACGACGAGTGACAGACTATAATGTTTCCGTCTTGATTCTGCCTCAGCCCCTGTCACTTATGTGTTATCGGAGCACTTGTGTGGCGCGATAGACGACGGTCTTACATTCTGTTGGCCTTTGTGTTCTATCTTATCATCGGTCGACATGATTTGGACAGACTCATAAATGAAATAGGCGAGAGAGAGAAAGAGAGAGAGAGAGGACCAATTCGATTCAAATCAAGCACTCAGTTTCACCCCTATGACCAACCGCGTTTGTGGCTCGTCAGGTTATCATCTGGCAGGATAACTCGATTCTGCTCAGAAATGAGGGCCAGAATGCAGCCTTTACGATATCGTCACTTATGTGAAATCTCGGATTCGCTGAATAATGTCTTGTACATGTGGAGCTGGAAATTAGGTCTTAAGTGATACTGACAGAGGGGTTGTTCACATTTTCTGACCGCTGCGCCCACATCCGCCTCCATTCACCCCGACATCGTCTTGTCATTAGAGGACGAAAAGGTATTGCACAATGAGTCAAGCCATCGGAC